AAGTAAAACTGGTTTCTTATTTCTGAATACAACTTTGCAATACACTTAATTTACACAGTCGCGCTATAACAAACGTTATAATTCACAACAAACGTCTCACTTGTCAATATATGTTTAAGTCTCTAATGTCTCTGTATTAGAATCAGGTACATCAATTACCAAAATAATCACTCAAATTTACAGTTTGTAAAAGTTGCGAATTTACTTGGTTTTCAAAATGAACATAAAATAAGTATAACATAACATAAGTATAACATAATAAGTCAAACATTACGTAACTACATAATCATAATTGTCTTTTCCATATATATTATAACAATATTGAAAGAAAGTTACACAACGAACATTGTTTCATGTTTTGTTAAGAAGAGACTGTTATTTAAAGTCATTAGCACGAAATAAGGACAAAAACAAAGGATGATTTTATGATATTCGAAGTTCCACAGCCTGCAGAAAAAAAATAACCATTTTCGGGTTTTACATGCGTTATAAATTGTTCTAAGCTTTTGAAAAACTTATGTTTTTTATACTGTTATAATGGTAAAACGTCTGTAGAATAAAAAACAAATTGCGCTAGGTTATTGTTCTCATCATGAAGTATAGTGAAGACGTTATAGATTGTAAATAGCTGTTCTACTGAATTTTCTATTGAGCACAAACAAAAACCTATAAATCTATTATTCCAGTATTGCCAAGGTGTATATAGTTTCTAATTAAACCTTTCCTTGGTTCTCCATATTCTACTACGATTCTTATCGATTTAAAGTTCTGGCATAACAGCATCAAGAGCAGGAATGGCAACATAAAATATAATAATACAACGAGTTCAATATTATAAACAATTTTTCCTGATGTTTTATGATTGTTGTTTATTAGGTTTTTCGTTTATATTTTCTGTGTCTACTGATTTTTACCAGTATTCTTGAATTAAAAGTTCTGTGGTAATTACTTCTTAAAGTCTTTCAAACTTATGGGTGTTTTTAAACTATCTTATTGATATATTTTTATTTTACTTAGCAAACGATAAGCTCACCTTCAAAGCACTGATTCGCATAGTAAAATTAGAGGTTGTTAAACAGCGTGGCTTCATCTTCAACCGCTTGGGGTTAGGCAGTCCTACATTATTCAAAATACGATATTCGATAAACAATAATGGAAAAAGAAAATTAAACATAGATGAACAGGATGGCATTGTTAGTTAGTAAATTTTAGTAGATATAACGCATACATTGAAATTTTTAAGCTATTAGAAAAAAAAATTAGGCTTTCATAAATACAAATATTGCATTCAATATGAAATAGTTTAAATGTGTTATATATAAAACTTCATGAAACAAATTAGGGTTAAAAAAAGAGGGTAAATGTAAACTTCAAAGTGTCATCTGTCTTCTATTATATGTACGGTGTTTTGAGTTGCACTTCACTTACAACAGTGAACCTATATTTATTTATATAGGATTGAAGAATATCCATATAAATATTTTCAATTCATATCAGTAAATAAGTTCCTCAAAAAGGTAAATTATTTGTACAACGATAAGCAGCATTTCCAGTTATGACGAAGTTGTCTTTAGTTTTAGTCCTGCCATCTTTTGATAATATACAAAACTAGCAATGCTTTCAGAAAACTTTTTTTTATTTTATACTTTATATTCTAACGTCTCCGTTTGTTAATTAACTTTCTGTAACTTCGTTCCAACGAAACTTAAGCGACACAAGTCCTTTCTTAATAAACCTGGTTTATTCTTTCCGAATATAACTTTACCGATACACTCAACTTCAACAATCGCGCTAAATAAACGCTATAACTCTCAAAGAACGTCTCTCGTGCCCTCTGACTGTAGTTCAATTACTCACTGTCTACACACACATTACATTATTCTCCCGTCACGTTGTCACTCTCTTTTATATACCAGACTACTCCATCTAGTAAATGCAAGGGTATTCATGAAGGAACAAGATAGTTCTAGAAACTAGAGGGCGTGAGAATAGTCACGTGATCTGGATGACGCAACACTGCCCCCTCCTTAATATTGTTCGTCCCGAACAATAACCACATACAATAAACCAATAACTTCATTAGCGCACGTCCCTTATGCTTGGGTCCCCTTTTAGCACAACATGTACTGCATGTCCTGCACCATTCTTCCACATCTTGTCTCATACGTATCCAGTAAACTCTCTGTCGTAGGTG